CTATTTTTTGCATGTCTTCATAACACTTAAGTGCTTAGTGTGTGTTGGTTGTGGGCTTTTTTGCTCTGACAACCCAACACAATTGGTAAAAGGAAATGAACTACTGCTTAGAATCATGGTGATGATGTTGTATTTCTTGGGGAAATACAACATCAGATGCACAACAACACATGACACCTATGCTGTGTCATTGTTTATCTGACAAACAGTCACAAAATGCAGTTGCAGTGCTTAAAAAAATTAGACACACTCTTAGGACTTCCTGCCAAGTCTGTGAAGGGTTATTCGCCCATTTCCAAACAACACCATTCTACAGCAAGAGAGATTACTCACAAGATTCAATCCCCTTAACACCTAGTGTATCATATTTGATACAAACCAATTTTTGTGTGCTTTTGAGACTTCTACATCATTAGAGTCATTTATTCTCTTAAAATACTTCCTCAATCAAATTCTAAGAAATTTAAAAAAGAAAAGAAAAGAACAAACAAATTGAAAGCCATATATGGAAATTAAATTTCAAGTAATTTTTTAATCAAATTTGTCAGATAATTCAATAAACTCTCCAATTCGAATTTTCTGGGAATGAATTCAAATGTCAGGCTTTAAGGGCTTAAGTATTACAGTTCATGACAGTACAATTAGAAAAAGACTGAACAAGTATGCCTTGTTTGCAAGGGTTGCCTGAAGAAAGCCTCTTGTGGCTTAGATTTGAAAAGTTACATCTGACCAAACAATAAGACTTTAGGTAAAATGTCCTTTGGACAGATGAGACCAAAGCGGAGATGTTTAGCTATTGTGCATGGCACCATGTTTGGGAAAACCAAACAAATGGGCACAAACAGCTCATAACTGTCAAGCACGGAGGTAGATGGATGAGGATTTGGGCTTGTTCTGCATCCACAGGACTTGGTCACCTCACAGTCACCGAGTCACCCAAGAACTCCTCCGTACACCAAAGTATTCTAGAGTCAGATGTGAGGCCATCTGTCCGATAGATAAAGCTTGTCTGAAACTGAGTCATGCAACAGATCAACGCTCCCAAGCACAGCAGCAAATTTACTCAACAGAATGGCTGAAAGCGCGAAAACATTCCAATGGTCTAGTCAAAGAGCAGACCTCAAACTGATTAAGATGCAGTGACGGGAGGGCTGTGTATAAACAGAAAGTGGGCCAAATTTTCACCACAATGATGTGAAAGACACAGAAAAGCATTCAAAAGCTGTTGACCTATTAAGTCTATGTAGATTTCCATATTTTTCCTCATTTTGGATTAGTTTTTAATAAATAATGTGATATGGGTGCATTGTTGTTCATCTGAGGTTGTATTTATCTAATTTTAAGACCTGATAAAAATAATGCTACGTAGCTGTAACATCTATATTCTTTTTCTTCTTTCATCGAGCACTCAAAGCACTTGGACCCATGTCTGCCTGTCCAATAATCCATTCATGGTTAGTGTTTGACATTATTATGTTAATACTGATTTACCAGAAAGGCTAATGCAGTTCCAGTTTAGAGTAATGAGCAAAAGGCTGGCAGAGATAAAAGCCTCTATGTGTGTGTGTGCAGAATTAGACAGGAAATGGAAGTTGCTTTCCATTTGCTGCAGAGCAACTTCAACCTAAACTTGAGCTTGAGCAGCAGACTGAGTAATTGCTTAGCCACAAAACAGGAAGCTTGCACCGTCCTCGTCTCAGCGTCAGGCAGACGTCACTCAGCAATCTCAGTTTGCCTGTTAAAGGCTATGTTTTTGCTACGGAGGAGTCTGAATGTTTACTGCTTTTTATTATCTTCTGAAGCACATTTTAAACAACAAATTTAGTCATAATAAAAACAAAATATAACCACAAAAGACAGTCGTATTGCTAATAGTGCTAGCCGTATTGTTAAAATCCTTATACACTGCTTTTTAAAAGAAACTCCATAATGCCAAATCATACATATACTGAAGGCACATAAAAATGCAAAATTATAAATAATGGGGGAAAAGTTAACCAACATGGGTAAAATTCTCATATTTTGTCTTCTGGCATATTTTAAAGTTCAACATTCAACAATAAAATCAAACCTAACCCTTGAATTTCACACTTCATAAATTAAAATTGGTTTACTTGCCTCATCTCTGCCTCCCAGCATTCCCCGACAGTAGTTTTTCAGTCTCGCAGCCTTGAAGCGGCACCTAAGTATCTAAACAGCCGGAGCTCAACCTGCTGCTTACATGTATCATTTCTGCTCGTTTGCCTCCCTCTTATTTCCTGTTCTGTGTGCCTCTGCGAATGCACCGAAAGAAGCAAATGGTGAGGCATTATAGCACAAAAGCCACGAGAAATGGGAAGTCTGAAACACTTCCCAGTGTTTTCTTTAAATGTGCTTTGTTTTCACAGAAAATTGCTCACAAAAAGCCAATGGGATTGTCCGACCAAGTGCTGACTCAGTCTGCCATAATATTTTGCAAACACTGTGAATAAATAAACATGGTAAACATAGAGTTTTAAGGACAGTTTAACTCTTTTCTTATTGAAAATAACAAATATAGTTGAATGTTTTATGTATGTGATGGGAATGCAAAAATGAAATCTTTTAAACTTAATAGAGTATGTTACCAACAGGACCATAAGACAACACTTTAGAAAAGCAGGGTAGTTATGTTCGCAGTTGTAGCTTCATGTGTATATATATATCTTTAAAACCAAGTACGCCCTCTGCTGGAATTTTAGGTTAAATAAAATACACAACTAAGTCCAAATGATGATTTCCTTACTTATTTATTTTGTCTTATTCGCAGATTTGGACTGGACTAAACTGTGAATCACTGAAATACTGCGGTCTCTCTTATAAACCAATTTAAACCGTGTTTATACAGAACCGAGGAAAGAAAAAAACCTGACATCTGAAGTAGATCCAAGGCAATCATCACATTTCTGTGGATTACATTAGACACTGAAAACACTCATATCTTCATTCACGTCAAAAATACCGTCGGTGTCGGTTTTATGTTGCATATTTCCTTACACACGTGCTCAATGTGGTAACAATAAAAATGAAGACATCAAAAACCATCTAGGTCTTCAGTGTGTGAAGCGATACAAACAAACCGTTAGTAAGGTAACACAGTTGTTAAATAAACGCATGTGAATTTTTAAAAAGGTTTTGAGTCTGTTGTTGAATGCATTTTAAAGTAATTTGTTGTTTTTGTTTAAAATCAGCATTATCAATCGCGTTAAATCCATCAGTTTTAATCTACTTTGTATGTTGATTGCTTAGTTTGCTTCTGGTAAAGACATCTTGGAGAGGTGAGGCTTGTAATTATGAGCCATAGTTTATATTTTTATTCACATTTTTGTTAGCACTTGTACTAGAGAGAAAATTCAAATGTGCTCCTGAAAGATAAGAATCATTTTGTAAGTTCAAAGCAAGTCAAACTCGGGTGATACGGAACTACCACAATGTCGGTTAATACTAGTTATTGATACAGTTGCTTCCGCATTAAGTTCATTCAAACACCGCGGAACGTTATCTTGCTAAGCCACATGTGGTATTTTTTCACAAATATAGAAGCCCCGCGATAAGCAGGGCATCAAAAAATTAGTTATAACTCATATTGTTCCTCTCCACGGAAATCTTTAGTAAAAGGCGAAAGATTTATACGATCTGAAGAGAAACATGAGTGTACTACTGAACGTTGCGACCTGGGGAGGTGTGATTTTCCGACATACTCATTACACTCACGGTGTCGTTGAGCTGAACGCAAACGTGCATAGTTTGAATACTGTACTTATGGGATCTACTTTATATAAATATATAAAACACTTTATATATATTTTAAAAATCTATATGAATTGCTTTAGAGCGAAAACGTAGGTTTAAAAGGAGTTGGTGTACTAGACCCGATGCATGACGGGTAATATTCTATTTCAGGCTAAAATACTGCACTCGGGAAGCTTTGCTAGGTCTTTAACTGAGCAGAAACGATACTGTGACTAAATTAAATATTAAGTGATTAGAAATAGGGAAAATAAGTGCAAAGAATAGAAAAAAGGTTTACGCAGGCGCAACACACTGTTAGGATGGGCTTTGGAACGAGAGAAGTCCTTCCTACTACTTCCGTCTTCGCACAGCTAACCGCCCCCCCCCCAAATAGCGTAAGAAACACTTTTAGCGATCAAAATCTTTTTTGTTTGATCCTCCAATGAAGACTCTGGGGTGTTTCCGGCCCTTCCCATCACAAAAATATGAATATACTTTTCTATTTAGTTGTTCATTTGAACCCTAAAGAAAATCAATGTTTTAACTGCACTAATTTCAGCTTATGTCCTATGTACATTTCATTTTACGATCATAAATCCTGATTAAACTTTCAGGTTATCTGCCTGGATTACTGTTTAAGTATCACATAAGCACAAGAAAATCAGGGGCCCAGTACTTCAGTATGGAAAAAATCCAAGTTTGTCATGGATGGAAAGTAAGTGAATGTGCATTAAGTGAATGGATAGATACAGATGAATAGATTTTTTTTCCTCGAAAGAGAAATAGCTTAGTTATCTTAGTAGATTAGTTTACCAGAATATACAAAAATTATCCCAAATTCAGGGCAATGTCTTCTTAACAAAGTACAACAAATGAAATCAAATGCACAATTTTCAGTAGCTCAGAAAGGCATTAAGGGATGTCTTTAAACCTGAAACACTTGACCCAGTTATCTTCAAATTAACAGCAGTGACCTTTGCCTGACAGGGCTATAAATGATTTTCATATGCAAACTTTTTGGTGTATATTTAAACTGCGAATGGTTCATCACACTGTTAAGGTTTTTATTTCAAGTTTGTTGTGTAGTAAAGAACATAGAATAACTCCCAATTTAAAATAAAGAGTTTGATTAACTCTCAACACAGAGTTTTATTTGTGGCACTGTCTCACATTCTTTGTAATCATCTGGAAAAAAACAATTGAAAAGTGAACTGAGTGAGTGGCTACTGGCATAATTTCCTTGTTTCAGTTTCCATCACCGCAGGACTAAAAGTAAAATGTTAGAAGTACAACGGACGAATGGCAGTGTTGTGCAAATGCATCATCAATACTGACGTATTACAAAATACAGTTCTCAACATCAAAGTGGCATTCTGTGTGAAACATGTACAGCAAAATGATCAACTTGTGTTTTCATGCAGTATCAACAGCACTTTCAACACAACGTACTTACATTGGAAATTCTTCATCAACTTGTTAAGAAAAGTTAGAAATCAGAACCGGAGCTCTGTTGTAAACCTACCCTCCTTTTGCTTTTCCAAACAGGCTGATGATGCTGACAATTTAAAGATCAGCAAAGACGTTCAGACTGAGCTCAACACCAGAATTACACGTAAAGAGGGCACCCGATCTCTTCTCCCCTTGGTCCAAAAGATTGATTGGTTATACTGATGTTTTGGTCATTGGTTCAAATATAAATATAGTTTATTATTTTAATATAAAAAGAATAAGGCAGATTTCAACATGTTCATTTCCACATGGATTAGTGAGCCCGCTGTGCATTTTCCACTGTACGCAAAGCCACATGATCTGTAAGAGTTTATTGCACAGAAGGCCAAGCTGCAGAAAAAGGGCGGAGCAGCTCATCTTCTTCTAAGACATTATCAAAAAGGACTGTAAAAGCTAATGACGTAAAAGTGTCCATGTGCAACTTCGCCCAACAGTTCATATGGCCTTGACATCGATAAGGTGGCCTTGCTGGGCCCCCTGCCGCAGGGCTTTGATCCCTTGCAGCTTGCGGCCATGAAGCGTGAAGCGAGACCAGGCCACCAGCTGGAGCAGGGCACAGGTGATAGGCACAAACACCAACATGTAGAAGCAGCCCAGGCGTAGAGGCGGATTCCCTGAGCTGGAGATGACGTGAGACCCAGAAACTGAGTCCTTGACAGAGTCTCTTTCAAAAATATCATAACCTGGGGATGACAAAATTAATCACATTAAATTTGACTCTTTTTTCCTGAAGCCATACTTAAATATGAAAACAGTAAGAGTTAATGAGGATCCTATTGATGAAAGAAACTAAAGTAAAGCTAGTGAGGCAAAACAAAAACGTGTCACTAGGATATATTTTAAGAGCACGACTGGCATAAAGCGATGCTTGTCTAACAGGTTATATTTGGGGGAAACTGGTTTGTGAGCCTTAAAAAACGCATCCAAAGAGGAAGTGAGCAGAGACCATAGAAAAGTCAGTAACATCCAGCTATGATGGGTGAATTCATGCAAAGCTGGTGTTGCAATTTTCCTAACTTTGAGGCAAGTGACTGATAAGTACGTGGCTTGGCTCTGGATACACCCCCTTTGGCTTAGATCGTTTTTCCTATCAGCAGAAACAACTATACTGACTCTGTCCAGTTAAACAACCTCATCTAAGTCTTAGTAAGAAGGTAAATATACATGTTTACAATGGTTTTTTTTCTTCTTAAAATTACATTAATTCTTTGTTGGCTGCCAGGTCACTTGTGCTGACCGTCCACAAATGGGCAAACAATTAATGCAAAGTTAAACAAGTCTGCAAAACAAGTGTAAAACAGACTGATTTTTTTTCCCTATCCTGTTCAGGTTCTAGAAAACTAAATTTAAAAAAATGAGCCTTGGAGCAAGCTTGGAAAAACCTGTGTCCTCATGAGGTCCAAGGCTGAGAGTTTCTGTTTGTACCTGTGTAAACACAGAGCAGCCATGTGCCAATGAGTGGGGCGAATGTCTGCCCGGGTTTGGTCATCAAGGCAACCATGCCGAAGACGAGAGCAGAGGCGGCTTGTTGACGTCGGTTTACCACAAAGTCCTCGTCCACCAGATCAGAAATCACCAGTTTCAGGAGTTTGCATGTCCCCTCGGTGAACACGCGGTTACTAGAAGATGGAGGAGTAATGTTACAGCGTGGAAACATCAGCTGTAATACAGGTTATCATACAAAAAGCCTTTGTTCAGAGCAGTCAGAGCACGCTAAGGTGTGTCCGAGTATGAAAAACAGTGTATGAAATACAGTCACAACTTCATCGCTTTTAGCTGGAAAGTTTTAGTGAGCTTCACCCACAAGTTTAACCACTTTACCACAGCTGTGACTAAAATTATCAATGAGCTATGAGAGCACTCAAATGCTGTTGATAGCTATAAGAACAGCAAGACCACTAATAGTCTAAAAACTGCATGAAAATAAATCGCTTGTGGCATTAAAATGTTATATGTGTATATGGGACTATAGAGATAACACAAATATTACAATTACAGTTAAGAGTAGACCAATTTCAGATTTGTGGCTAATTTCTAGAGACAGCATTTATAACCCCCCTCAAAAAAAAGGGTCTCTGCAAATGGCATGCACAAAGGAATTCTGGGTTTGTGTATGCAGCTTTGAAAATGATAAACCGTTAAAAACAAGCACAAAAAGAACCAGCCAAACTGCCACACATCCATGAAGCGTGTGCAGATGTGTGTGCACGGCCATACCTAGCAATGAAGACACACAGCAGATAAATGTGGTCAGCCCCTGCTAGCAGCATAGCCACACTAAGTCCCAGTTTGAGCATAAATAGCCAGCGGATAACCTGGTAAACCCCGTAACGCTGGCACAGTGTCAGGAAATACAAGTTGTTCAGGTGTGGAGCAATATAAGAGATTCCTGTGTGGAGCAGAAGCACAGCTGCGTTAAAAATTAAAACTAGAAAACAGCAGAAAAATAATTTGAGAGAAAGCGAGTGGAAAGCCAAAAAACCCCAAACAATACAAATAAGTAAAAATCTTGCAATTCATTCAAAGGTTCTGGTGCTACACATAAGTACCAAAAAAACATGTGTGGTAGCTTTTATTGTCATGTCTCAGATTTGGAATCACTTGCCTGAAGAGATCAGGCTTGCAGAATTAGTAACCACCTTTGAATCACTTCTTAAAGACTAGCTTCAATGTTTTTAAGGGCCTCACTAACAAAAATATATTGCTGAAAAAAAAAAGAAATGCAAAGTCTGTTAAATTTCTGGGACATCAGCTTGTCTAGAAGCATAAACTGCTGTGAAACAATTTCAACTGCTTGGTTGCAAATTAAATTGGCAACAGGTCCACCAAAGATATGGCTCTCCAGACCATCACTGACCCACTGCCAAACTGGTCATGCTGGTTGATGCTGCAAACAGCATAACGTTCGGCAAGCCTCTTTCATACCGTCTGGCCCTCATGCCACCCTCATGGAGTCAGTTCCTGAGAGTCTGATCAGAAACACGCAAATGAGTGAAGTGAAATCACTGAAGGTCATTCTACACTTCACGTTCTTTCTTGATCAAAAGAGCAGATGCTGGCTTGTCTACTGGGTTGATGCCTGCCCAGTTCTCCTTATATAAAAACCCTCTCCTGCTACCTCCTGTAAACTATCGTACAGTTAGTATTGTATAGTTATAATTATAGTATTGTTAGTTAGTAATTAGTACCCTTTTATCCCTTAATTTTACAAAATTCTAGCATGTTATTTATTTTTAAATTCTAGTTTTATATCTGTTGGAGATATATCTTTTATATACTTATAAATGCACCATGGGGAGGCTTGGGGTGAAACAGCATTTCGGACAATAAAGCTCTTGAATCTTGAACTTGACACAGCAAACCTGATGTGCATGTGCCATCCTAGAGGAGCCAGACTGTGTGCAAGCTAAGTGCGCTGCAGGTACCATCACATGCTAACTGAAGTGACAAAGACACCAGGAAAAGCAAAACTGGTGAAAAATCAGTCAGCATATAAGGAAAGAGCACTCCTCTGTGGCCACAAGGTGCAAAATCATTCCCTTTGTGGGGTTGTTGCCTTGTTTTTGACTCTCCAGGACACATGTTCTCACTTGAGTTTGAATCCAAGCAGGTGAAATAGATTCACAGTGGTTCATGCTTTCTACCTAGACAGATGAATTTCCCAGAGGTTTAACTAACTTTGCGTGACACTGAAGATCAAGTGCTCACTTCATTCTTTTCAAATGAGTTTCTTCTTTCATATAATTGTTTAATTTATTTATTTTTAATAGATCAACAACTTATTTTCTGTGACTTTTATTTAGTTCTCTTTCTGCATTTGCTTTTCTGTCAAAGCAATCTGCAAACTATTTTCTTAAAGGTGCTATATAAATAAAGGTTAATTATATATTTTAATATGCCACTACTCATGATTTAAAAGTATACATTGCAGTGTGTTTTCCAAGCATTTTTCCTCACATAACAGTGTTAAACATTAAAATAACTTCTTTATTTTAATATTCCTATTGGTAACTTCCTATTCACTAAAATTTAAGTCACTATATCAAATATATAATTTCTTATCTCTTGCTGTGCAAAGCTTCCATTACAAACACTTGTGTAAATCATTTACTGCATCTCAACTGGATCTTACCAAGTAAAATTGAACCCGTAGAGGCAGAGATGTTGTCAGATAAGAGATGTTCTAAGAAAAGAGGGAAGAAGTTGCTGTTGAAGTGGCAGTGAAACACCTGCAAACAGAAGCAGAAGTGACAGATAAACAAAGATGATTATTTTATTCTAAATTAAAAGCAGTTTGTTGCTTGGACCTGTAGCAGTTTTCTTTAATTAAACACCAAGAAAACAAATGAAATGTTTTCTGATTTTAGTGCGAAGCAGGAAAACCACAAATATTTAGCTAATAATATTAACTACGAAAGTTCAACAAGGGTCATTTACAAGAAGGGCTGCACTTCATGTGGAAAGACAAACACTGGAGGGCAGTCTAACTTTTAGCTTGCATTGTCTATTGTTAATAACAAGAACAAACTCACTAAGACTGTAAATGCTTGTACTAAGATTGCACGTCAAAAACAAACATGGGCTCACACGGCTTTAAGACTTTTAAAGGCTGACCTGAATCAGGTTCATTGACACGAACCACATGAAGTTCCTGTGTCTGGACAGCTGCTTGAGATACTGTCCAATAGTGACAGGTTTTTCCGGGTGGTTAAGTGGAGCATGGCCAACGTTTAGTCTGTGATAACAGACACGCACGAAAAGATGTGAGAAAGGAGAAAACACAGTATGAAAATTTCTCATATTATTCACACTTTTAAATTCTTACTCTTTGAGTGCTGATGCATCATCTTGTTTTGGATGGATTTCCTTTATAAAACGGCGCTGGAGCATTCGAGATACTAAGAAAAACCCCAAGACGGAAAAAGCTGCCAGAGTTACACAGAAGATACGGAAGGAGTAAAAGTCCTCTTTATCCCAGAAAGAGTAGGACAGAAAGACGGAGAAAGACCCCAGAGCGCTGAACACCGAGCAGTGAAAGTTGAGGCGTGTGCGATCGGTGGCAGATACAGCGAGGTCCGCCAATAGGGCGCTGTGGTGGAGATCCACCATAGTGAGAAAGCCATCGTAGAGACACAGGCACAGCAGGAACTGCAGGCCTGGACTGGCCCATGCCACCCAGAAGGCCAGGAAGGACACGGCGAAGAGAGGACCATTTGTGGCGAGGGCCTTCAGACGCTTCAGCACCACCTCTGGATTTGTGATCTGAGAGCCGGCTCTGGGTGGAAAAACAAAACATATAACAAATCTTTAGACACGTTTTGTGATAATTAACCAACTTCTCTGGTACAGACAGACAGGTTATTGCAGACAGCCCCGTATATCATGATGTTAAGCAGTGGAGAAATTCTTAAAATAAAAAAGGGAAAAAGTGCGTTTCTCTGGCATAAAAACGTGTAGTTGTATTAAATGTAACAAACTTCCACAGAATGATGTGACCAGCTTTATAACATCACTGCCTTAGAACAACACAGAGAAGGTTTGCTTAGTGATATAACAATGTAAACACAGAAAGCATATAAAAATTTGACAAAGTGCTCTGATGGCGTCAAACACTTGGGTGTGTATGAGTGTCTAAGAGATACTTGGGCGGTATGGGTGGGAAATGAGAAGCGATCAGAGTCCGAATGAAGATTATATCTGGAATTTTAAGATCATTCTACAAAGATGACTTTATGTTGTTGAATCAGGAGTATCTCTCCAAGTTCGAGGCAAGTAGATGAACTGTGCTGACACATAACAAGAACTATGAGGTGTCTCCTCAGAGGAAAAAACTTCTCTTTTTCAAAAGAAGATGTGCAACCGACAAAAATATCCCCAGAAAGAACTAAATCCTATTGCACAACATTAGTGTCTCTTCCAAATGACTCCAACTACATAAATGACCTTTTTTTGAATATCTATTGTGTGTGGTCATGTCCACATTTCTAAAGCTTGTGCAAACAGTTAACTTGTTTTTCTGCAGTCTTTTACACATTCATTAACAACTATTTACAACTGTGTTTGTTCCACAAAAAGTAGAAGAAAGTAAAGATGCAGATACTCACTGAGGAGAGCTGAGAAAGGCGCGGTCACTCAGCCAGCCGAAGAGAGGGTCGTTCAGACTGTTCCAGATAAGGAAGACAGTCTTTGGAGCAGCAGAAAAATAATGTTAAATAAAAATCAGTGGATGATGACGCATACAGGATTACCATTAATCTTAAATTGGTTCCAATATAGAATCTGTTCTTCTGTGTAGTTTCAACCTTATTGTTTTGCCATAATGTATTTTGTTTCATTTAATTTAACTATTTGCTTTTATTTATGCTTTTGTCTTATTGGTTTTATTCGGTGTTACAGCAGCACAAGACAATGTGTTGTGTCCAATGACAGTAAAAAAGACAGATGTAGCCACCATGATGTCATCCGTTGGTTTGTGGAGTCCTGTTATGAAACCTGAAGCTTTTCACTATCTAAGAGGTGGATCTGGCTGTGATACTGCTGGATGTTCACTGGTTAACGACTTTTCAATCACATGTTGTTAGCCAAGTCTTCAGCTTACTCTGGATAATCCTCTTTTCTGACAACAAAAATGGCCAAAACATACAATTTTGGATTTAATTTTGTATTCAGTCTGACCTGAAATGAGTGACTGAGCCCATAAACTCATCACGAAAGTGTTCATAGAGTTACGGGGCAATGGTGCTTTTCCCATAAACTTCTATAGGACTGAAAGTTATCGCCCCTGGTAGCATTAATAATAAATACAGGTTTAAGGCCATGTTGTTTTCCCTTTTAGGCCCAGAAGCTACTATCAGTAAAAGAAAGATCCATTTTTCACTGTCCAATTTTAGTCTCATGAAGAGCTGACAGGCTTTAAGATAAATAAGTTATATTTTATAATGAAGATTTCTGTTTTTCTGGTACAAAAAAAGGTAATTAAATAACAAAAGCAAAACGATGAGCACACTCTCAGCGACACTGGACTGGTAAATTAAGAGTTGGATTTCTAATCTTAATTAAACGTCCAAATTTAAATCACGTGTTTAATCTCAGAATCACAGTTTAGGGCATTCTTTAGACTCACCTCTCCCACCCAGAAGGAGATTTTATCGATCTTGTAGATGGAGACAAACGTCTCCACATAGTAGAGCAGGAACACATTGTGCAGGATGGATGTAAATAGAGCCAAAGAGCCATAGAGCAGCGCAGTAGAGAGGACACCTTGCCAACAACCCCAGACCCTCCTGCCCATTCTTCTTTCTCAGTCTCTCTGCTCCGTCTTTCTTTTGTGCCGAACAGCAGTCATTTCACAGCCTGGCCGCCCCAGGGTTACCACCTCATCATAACCTGCAAAAAATAAAACAAACAAACCACACAGCACAAGTAAATGCATTTAGATTTGATAAAAACATACAACAGATAAACTGTATTAGCTCATAACGTCACATTTTTGAGCATTACCAGAAATTGCACTGCACCTTTTTAACAGTTAAATTCCAGCTGAGCGCACCAAAATAATATTAACATTCCCGTCTCTGTCTCCCCACAGAGTCTGAGCAGACCAGAAAAAAGTGCTGTTTTCAAAGCAATGGTGCACTAGGTACTCATTAAAGTTAGTTAGGTTGTGGTACACTGTTCCTTTCCTCTATGAGCACACGCCCAGCCGACTGAGAGTAATACTACTTCTCCCAGCCAAATATGACCACTCCTTTGAAAACTCCATCTCACTTACCTCATAAAAAGCTGACCAAAAGAACAAAGTAAACATTTCAGGATGAGTATTTTCACTGCTGTGTTGCCCTTGGGTGTCATATTCAAAACTGAAGTGTTGCACTGTTTATGCTATTATGATTACAAAAAACTTTCAGAAAAAAAGAAAAATTAGCTTGAAAAAGAAGCATAATGAGCTTCTTTCATCAATGCAGATATATATAGACCTTAATACAGACTTTGCATGTACATGCAAATTTACTGTAGGTCTTAGGAAATTTTCTTTTTGGCTGCCTTGCGGGTATCAGTGCATCCAAATCGCTGTATACAATCTACATACAGTCACACCCATATTTCTATATAAATTAACATGAGGAATAGAGGAAAACTCAGTGGTATTTTTCCAAGAAAGAAGCCTGTACAGTTCAAATAGACCATATGTTGAAGGTTCATGGATAGAGAGAAAGGGGAGAGCCTTCTTACACCAATATGTAAGAAGGATGTCACAGGTAGGGACAGGAGTAAAACGTGTGAAATGCTGTGGAGGTTATGTCTTGGGGATGAATTTCAGCTTGAGGTTTTGGAGATCTTGTTGAAATTAAAGGGTTTATGCACACAGGAAAGTACATATATTGATCTACTGTGCAATATCATCTGGAATGCACTTTTTTGACAACAGCTTCATTTTTCCAAATGACAATGATCCGAAATACACTACCAGTGTAGTAAAAACATACCTGGATAAAAAAAAGAAAACAATGGAACACCATCAGTCACGGACTGGGATCAACATTTCCCATTTTTATGGAAATATATGAAGAAATGAGGGACTGCTACAGCACTGCAGTTTAAAGATGCACTAAAATATTCTAAGACAGCCTCCTTTATTTGTTCATAAAAACAGTCTGAGGAAGTTCTCAATGTGTTTGTAGACTACAAACAAATTCAGTACCTTCACGCACACATTGTGAATGAGGTCCAGAGTTTCCATGTTACACCCCTTTGTGAATTACTGTCTTTCAATACAGTGAATGCAAATCCTTTGTTGGCTGTTCTATTCTCATGTCCCGAGTGCATACTCATAAGCAGCACCCCAGGGTGAGAATTTGCTAAAAAATACCAGTAAGCACCTCGCACTTCATGCCTGACTGCCACAAGCTCAAACTTGCACTGATTACATCCTGTCACGTCTTCAGTGGGGAAGAAAAAAGTAATAGTTAAAAAAAAACAACACACACACACAAAAAAACAAGGCGATATGATACTTTCCATCAGTGTACTGTCTAGGTACAACCAAGATAAGTGGGGCAACCTCAGTGGAGTGTAACAAAGAGCTCCCTATCAGATCCAAGCAGGTAAAAGCGGGATATCTTTCAGCTGGCTGTGCCATATCACATCTTTAACACCTATGCATCTTACCAAAACAAAAGTGGTGTACTTTGCAGCAGATGATAGTGCCTGACAACATCTACAAATATCCCATTCACTTCCTCTCAGGCACGGCATATTTACCAACTGCTTTCTCCCCACCTGTTGTGTTTACAGGACATCACAGAT